TGCCTAGCTGCTGCTCTGGTCACGCCTCCTCCTGCTTCTGCTGCTGTTGCTGCTGCTGCTCCTCCTCTTCCTGCTCCTCCTCCTCCTCCTCCTCATCTCATCATCATAATCATCATCAACATCCTCCTCCTCCTCACCATCATCATCATCATCATCATCATCATCATCATCATCATCATCACTTCCACCATCATCATCATCATCACCACCATCATCATCATCATCATCATCATCATCATCACATCATCATCATCATTCATCATCATCATCATCATCCAATCACCATCACCATCACCATCATCATCATCATCATCACATATCATCATCACCATCATCATCATCATCATCATCCATCATCATCATCATCATCATCATCATCATCATCATCACCACCACCACAACCACCACCACCACCATCGTCATCATTGTCACCATCATCATCGTCATCATCATCATCATGATCATTATCATCACCATCATCAAAACTATCATCATCACCATCAAAAGCATCATCATCATAGTCACCACCATATTCGTCATCGTCATCATCAGCATCATCATTATCGTCATCACCAGCATCACCATCATCGTCATCAGCAGCAGCATCGTCATCGTCATCATCATCATCATCATCATCATCATCATCATCATCATGAGCATCATCATCAGCAGCATCATTAGCATCAGCATCAGCATCAGCATCAACATCAACATCATCATCATCATCATCATCATCCTCCTCCTCCTCCTCATCATCATGAGCATCCTCCTCTTTCACCAAACATTATGCAAACATTGGCGCTTTGTTCAAGCCAGGGCACGTAAAGCGCATGTTGTATGTGAAGACGTGCGAACCTCGCGGCGGGCGGGCATGGCAGAAGCACGACGAGGTGATCGAGAAGGGAGCGCGACACGGATGGCGACGAGAAGGGTGATGTGGATGAGGGTGAAGCTAAGATTAAGTCGGGCCTGTCCCCCTACAGGGGGATTTTCGACGAGAAACAAAACATACCCCCAAAATAATACTAAAAAATAGTCAAAAACTAGTCGGGGGACCATTTTTGGGGTATTTGTTGACCTTTTTGGTGTATGTTTGGGGTATTCTCTCACTTTTCGTCGAGAATCCCCCCTGTAGGGAGACACGCCCGGTATCTTACAGCCATCTTTCGGGCGATCGATCACAGATGCGGGTTTTGTTCTCCCTCCCTTCGTCGGGGCCAGAATTCTCGTGAGGGATGTCGTTTTTTAGCCCTCCCAGGAGTCGAAGAAGACCCCTCTGACTACCCGCGGGACGCCGTTTCATAAAAAGCTAAGACGGGGCAGGCAGTGTGGGCTCACTGCGCTGGCGGGCCGACGCCCTCGACTTCGCACCCGAGGAGGACGCTGCAGACCAGCGTGCGCTTCTGTGCCGGCAGGCGCTCGGCCGGCCCAGGCACGACGGCGAAGCGACGGGGCGGCGCAGCCGCCCTGGCTCCGAAGAGTCGAGCTGGAGCTTCCAACATCTACCCAAGGGAAGCTGCTTTGCCTTCCCAGACCTCCGACGTCGCAAGAAACTCTCACGACGGAGGCTTTTGATCATTTTCGGCCTCGGGAGGCCCCCGCCGGGCCTCGGGAGCGTCCAAAACGCGACTCGGGATGAGGAACCGGTCCCAGGGAGGGTCTCCAGACTTCGGGGGGCCGACGTCGTGAGTTTCTCACGACGTCGGGGGTCTGGGTTCAGCGTGGATGTCGAAGCATCCTGCTTGAACGTGTGCGGTTCCCCACCGACAGTGTCTCTGCGTGGCTACACACGTCTCCACCTCTCTGACGCCGCAGGAAGCCGCCGAGCCTGCCCGCCTTGTTCGCGTAATGACCATCTGGCTTCCCAGCGGCAGCCATGCCAGGGCCATCGGGGCCCCACAAAGGATTCTCTCGCCACCGCGGACAGCAGCCGAGCCAACCCTGCCACGCCATGGAGGGCCCCGCGCTGGGTTCCCACTCCCGACATGTGGGCACCATCCCCGCCTCCTCGCGCACACACTGCGACATACGACCCCGCCCCGCGCGTGGCGAGTTTTTCCGGCGATCCCGTCACTTGGCGGCGTCGGCCGCATCGCGGCCGGTGCGGTTCCCCTTCAAGGGCGCAAGAGCTTTCAGGCCCTTGAGCTTCGCGCATGCCCCGCACATCCTATGGCGCCTCGGTTTAAGCCGGGCCTGTCCCCCTACAGGGGGTATTTTCGATAGAGAAATACCTTCAAAATAATCCAAAAATAATGCAAAAATAGTCTGGGGACCATGTTTGTAATACTTTTTGGCATTTCTGGGGCTTTTGGGGGGTATTTGCCTAACAACGAAGACTGATAGGTTTCTAATAATGGTCTCAAAAGAAAGCATCTTGACTCCTCAAGGGGGTCTGGGCAGATGCCGGACGGGTGCCCGGGAGAATCCGCGGAAGTCGTTTTAAGCAAACAGTTACACACTTCGTGGTCTTCGAGGTCCCAGAACTCTATTCCTGGGCATGTTTTTGAATGCCCGGAGCCAACTGTAGGCCACTTCGTGGTCTTCGAATTCCCAGAACTCCACTCCTGGGCATGATTTTGAATGCTCGGAGCCAACTGTAGGCCACTTCGTGGTCTTCGAGTTCCCAGAATTCCGCTCCTGGACATGATTTTGAATGCTCGGAGCCAACTGTAGGCCACTTCGTGGTCTTCGAGTTCCCAAAACTCCATTCCTGGGCATGATTTTGAATGCCCAGAGCCAACTGTAGGCCACTTCGTGTTCTTCGAGTTCCCAGAACTCCATTCCCGGGCCACATTTTGAATGCTGAGGCAGGCTGATGCTGAGGCAGGCTGAGGCTGAGGCAGGCTGAGGCTGAGGCCGAGGCTGAAGGCATACTGAGGCTGAGGCTGAAGCAGGCTGAGGCTGAGGCTGAGGCAGGCTGAGGCTGAGGCTGAGGCAGGCTGATGCTGAGGCAGGCTGAGGCTGAGGCTGAGGCTGATGCAGGCTGAGGCTGAGGCACGCTGAGGATGAGGCCAAGGCTGAAGATCACGGGGGAATCATCAATATCAAACCCAAGGACGGGCAGAACCGACGACGTGGACTCACCAGGAACAAATGAAGGGGGGGTCGCAAAACTGACCGAAACACCTCCCTCACCACTAAGAGAGGGTCATAAAAAACTAACGACCGCCACCTGGGGAACTGCGGGGATATTGCAGCGAAGAGGAGGGGTTGGGAATTCTGACGACGGCGCGGCCGCCCGACCCGTTAGTCCCCTTGACCGAAAGAGAGCCGACGACGGCGCGGCCAGAAAACCCCTAAGTCGCTTTCTATTGGAGTCGCGCTAGTGATGGCTGAAGGCAGACTGAGGCTGAGGCTGAAGCAGGCTGAGGCTGAGGCTGAGGCTGAGGCAGGCTGAGGCAGGCTGAGGCTGAGGCTGAGGCAGGCTGAGGCTGAGGCAGGCTGAGGCTGAGGCTGAGGCTGATGAAGGCTGAGGCTGAGGCAGGTGAGGCTGAGGACGAGGCTGAAGGCAGACTGAGGCTGAGGCTGAAGCAGGCTGAGGCTGAGGCTGAGGCAGGCTGAGGCTGAGGCTGAGGCAGGCTGATGCTGAGGCAGGCTGAGGCTGAGGGTGAGGCTGATGCAGGCTGAGGCTGAGGCAGGCTGAGGCTGAGGCCAAGGCTGAAGGCAGACTGAGGCTGAGGCTGAAGCAGGCTGAGGCTGAGGCTGAGGCAGGCTGAGGTGAGGCAGGCTGATGCTGAGGCAGGCTGAGGCTGAGGGGCCCCGAGGCGACGGCAGACTGAGGCTGAGGCTGAAGCAGGCTTGACGGCTGAGGCAGAGGCAGCATGAGGCTGAGGATGAGGCTGAGGCTGAGGGCTGAGGCAGGCTTAGGCTGAGGGCTGAGGCTGATTGCAGGGTGAGGCTGAGGCAGGCGAGGCGAGGCCGAGGCTGAAGCAGATTGAGGCTGAGGTGAATAGCAGATGAGGCTGAGGAGAGGCAGGCTGAGCAGGCTGATGATGAGGAGGCTGATGCAGGCTGAGGATGAGGCAGGCTGAGGCTGAGGCCGAGGCTGAAGGCAGACTGAGGCTGAGGCTGAAGCAAACTGAGGCTGAGGCTGAGGCAGGCTGAGGCTGAGGCTGAAGCAGGCTGATGCTGAGGCAGGCTGAGGCTGAGGCTGATGCTGAAGCAGGCTGAGGCTGAGGCAGGCTGAGGCTGAGGCCGAGGCTGAAGGCAGACTGAGGCTGAGGCTGAAGCAGGCTGAGGCTGAGGCTGAGGCAGGCTGAGGCTGAGGCTGAGGCTGAGGCTGAGGCTGAGGAGGCTGAGGCTGAGGCTGAGGCTGAAGCAGGCTGAGGCTGAAGCAGGCTGAGGCTGAGGCCGAGGCTGAAGGCAGACTGAGGCTGAGGCTGAAGCAGGCTGAGGCTGAGGCTGAGGCAGGCTGAGGCTGAGGCAGAGGCAGGCTGATGCTGAGGCAGGCTGAGGCTGAGGCTGAGGCTGGCTGAGGCTGAGGCAGGCTGAGGCTGAGGCTGAGGCTGATGCCTGAGGCTGAGGCTGAGCAGGCTGAGGCTGAGGCCGAGGCTGATGGCTGAGTTGAGGCTGAGGCTGAGGTGAGGCCTGATGAGCAGGCTGAGGCTGAGGCATGAGGCAGGCAGGCTGAGGCTGAGGCTGAGGCATATGCTCCTACACATCGCGAATGTTAGGTTGTTTTACCGGGATAATTCTTATTTTTCGTCGAGAACCCCCCTGTAGGGGGACACGCCCGACATAAGCCGTGGTGGAGGCCTCGCGGCGCGTGGGCCGGGGCGCGCGGCAGTGCCGGCTCGCTCCTCGCCTTCCGGCGTGGCACGCTCAGCCACCTCGGTGTCACCACGAGCCCCAGGTTCGCCCCAGACCTCCGACGTCGCGAGAAGCTCACGACGGAGGTTTTTAGTAACTTTCGGCCTCGGGAGGCCCCCGCCGGGCCTCGGGAGCGTCCAAAAACGACTCGGGACGAGACACCCGTCCCAGGGAGGGTCTCCAGACTTCGGGGGGCCGACGTCGTGAGTTCCTCACGACGTCGGGGGTCTGGGTCGGTGTCACCAGGAGCCCCAGGCTGGCGCACGCGCCCGTGGAGCGCCAGCGCCTTGAAGTGAGTGGGCGAAGGGCTGCGGCCCTTCCTGCTGCTGCACCGTGCTGCCACGGGGGGCGGCTGGGCAGGGAGATGGGGGAGCTCCGCTCGGCCACGGCGAGCCTCGGCGTCCAGAGGCCAGCTGCTGGATACAGAGTGCGGGGGGCCTGGTCGTGCCAGGGACCGGACACTGGAACGGCATGCGAGCACAGACGCATCCAGCCCGAGCACATCCTCCTCCTCCTCCTCCTCCTCCTTCCTCCTCCTCCTTCTCCTCCTCCTCCTCCTCCTCCTCCTTCCTCCTCACTCCTCCTCCTCCTCCTCCTCCCTCCTCCTCCTCGTTACTCCTCCTCCTCCTCCCTCCTCCTCCTCCTCCTCCTCCTCCTCCTCCTCCAGGCCGTCCACCCCTGGCATCTCGTGGAGGTGCGCGAGGTCCGCGCGCCGATCCGGCATGGGGGCCGCCAAGCGGCCCGAGCCAACGCGAGCGCCGAGGGTCGAGCGACGGAGGTTTTTGATGGCTTTCGGCCTCGGGAGGCCCCCGCCGGGCCTCGGGAGCGTCCAAAAACGGCTCGGGATGAGAAACCGGTCCCAGGGAGGGTCTCCAGACTTCGGGGGGCCGACGTCGTGAGTTTCTCACGACGTCGGGGGTCTGGGATTGGGGGCGGTCTCGGCCCAGAAGCTCACAAAACATAACTCGATGAGACCAGCGCTGTGCCGCCAGCTTGGTTCTGGCATGCCGTCACGTATCGACGCGGCGGCGGGCGGCATGAGTACTGTGCGAGTGCGGCTATGGATGGTACGGGTACGAGGCAATGGACGAGGATGGGGAGTGGTATGGTGAAGACGGGAATGTAGATGAAGGTGACAAGGACACTCGGGGAGAGCATGTAATGTAGATGGCAAGAGCGATGGTTACAAGCCACGGCGGTGGTGGCGATGACGACCGCGAGAAGGACAGAGAAGGGGACGAGGATGAAAATGCTGCTCAGAGGGGGGCTCCTGGGATTCGCGTGATCTTTGTCTCATTTTTGTTTCTCACCCACTCCCACCGAAACTTCGAGCGTGGCGGTTGTGCCCTGATGGGCGGGTCGAGCGTGTGGACCCTATTGGGCAGGTCGGGCGGGCGGACCCCAACGGGCGGGCCGGGCGGGCGGGACATGAAAGCGGTCGGGCGGGCTTAGCGTACGGACCCTGAGCGGGATGGGCGGCCGGATCTTGGCGGGAGGGTCGTGCGGGCGGACCCAACGGGCTGGTCGGGCGGGCGGACCTAAACCGAGGCCAGAAACGGGGAAATACGCGACCAGGATAAAACCCGCGGTCGGTTTTCAAATCACTGGGGGGGCCATGCATCGCGCGTCATCGGCTTTGCGACGCAAGCGATGCGCTTTGGTGGAAATGGAGCCACAACGCACCCTTGGCGACGCGTGCACAGGCGAGAAACTCACGTCAATTACGCGTCACTCAAAAAGCTGCGACGTCGACACTACGTCAAATAATACCCAGCATAGGCCGTCAGAGGTTGCCGTAAAAGCTAAAGGAGGATAACAATTCCAGACAGGACCACCAAAAGAAAATTTCCATAGAAACTCAAATCCAGAAACTGGGGCGCACTGAATTTCCGCGTTCAGTAACTGTCTGAAATCGACTGATACACCAGGGCCGCTGGAAACCCTTGCACATACCAGCGCTTCAAGAGCTGGCCAGAACTCTCTGAACAAAAATCCGCCCGCGAAATTTAGCGCGGCTCGAGTTCCAATTCCGAGATTTTCTGAGATCGAGGCGCCTGCGGCGGCATCCGGCACGCAGTCGTGGGGCCGCCGCAACGCGCGGCGAGGGCCCCCACCGCGATGTCTTTGCCACCCGCCCTGGACGCGTCCACGCACGCAACGACGCGGTCTGCATTTTTTCGGGCCCTCTGAATAGAATGCTCTGAAAGAACGTGCAACATGTTCTACGAGTTACTCGCCCCCTCCACGCCCCTCACGGCCCCTTGTGCACATGCGCGCGCAGGGCTTCACATACCCACGAAACGATGAAACACATATCTGATCTAAGCGGTGCTCAGACAGTGTCCAGGACGAGGTAGAGGAGCAGCACCCTAGAGGGGGAGGTACATGATGACGAGGACGGGATTGGAGGAGGGGAGGCCGACTAGGACGAGGAGGACGAAGACGGCGACTAGAACTAGGACAAGCATGAGGAGGAGGACGACGACGACACCTCTCGTGTCTTCGGCTGTGGCCGCACAGGGGCGCAGCTACTGCATCCCGCCTTGAGACAGGCCCACGAAGCCAGAGACAGCCTGGCGCAGAGAGGAAGACGAGGGGGAGCAGGGAGGGAAGAGGAACCTCCTCCTCCTCCTCCTCCTCCTCCTCCTCCTCCTCCTCCTCCTCCTCCTCCTCCCCCCCCTCCTCCTCCTCCTCCTCCTCCCTCCTCCTCCCCTCCCCCTCCTCCTCCTCCTCTCCTCCTCCCTCCCCTCCTCCTCCTCCTCCTCCTCTCCTCCTCCTCCTCCTCCTCCTCCTCCTCCTCCTCCTCCTCCTCCTCCTCCTCCTCCTCCTCCTCCTCCTCCTCCTCCTCCTCCTCTGCGCTGCGTCGTAGCCTCACCCCGCGCCCGCCGCCCTGGCGGCGCGAACGGCGGCCCAGAGCGGCCGGCGGAGAGGCTCGCCTTTCTCCCCGCGGCCGGGGTCGGGGGCTGCAGGCCGGCAGGCCGGGAGGGCGGACCAGCGCAGACCCCCAGGATGCCCAGGAGGAGGAGGAGGAGGAGGAGGAGGAGGAGGGAGGAGGAGGAGGAGGAGGAGGAGGAGGAGGAGGGGAGGGGGGGGGAGGAGGAGGGGGAGGAGGAGGGGAGGAGGAGTAGGAGGAGGAGGGGGGGGAGGAGGAGGGGGAGGGGGAGGAGGAGGAGGAGGAGGAGGAGGAGGGGAGGAGGAGGAGGAGGAGGAGGAGGAGGAGGAGGAGGGGAGGAGGAGGAGGAGGAGGGAGGAGGAGGAGGAGGAGGAGGAGGCGGAGGAGGAGGAGGCGGAGGCGGAGGAGGAGGAGGAGGAGGAGGAGGATGCCCAGGATTGAAGGGGCCCCAGGACACACACATAGACACACGCGAATAGCAAGAATCCCCCCATTTTCTCATGTCTTCTGGGCTCCTGTCTTCCCCCCCCCACTTCCCATATTTTTTCCCACATTTTCGGGGGAGTCGAGGATTAGTTGTGTCTGTGTGTTCTTTTCCCTCCTGAAGGATGCATCCACCACGTTGCGGTGCACCCTATCCCATCCCAAGCCCCCCCCAACGGTGTGTTCGTGAGGTGGCGACTTGCGCGTCGGTCTCTGCCACCGCGCGGATCGCTCAGCCTCGAGCGTGAGCGATCGCGGCTTTCCGAGTGTGCAGGCCGCTCGACATCGGCCGCCTCTGGGGCCACTGGCGGCGTTCCACCCTGAACGCACGGGCTGCGGTCGCCGCCGCGTCGCCGCAACATGAGGAGGTGGGAGGAGGAGGAGGAGGAGGAGGAGGAGGAGGAGGAGGAGGAGGAGGAGGAAGGAGGAAGGAGGAGGAGGAGGAGGAGGAGTAGGAGGAGGAGGAGGAGGAGGAGGAGGAGGAGGAGAGGAGGAGGAGGAGGAGGAGGAGGAGGAGGAGGAGGAGGAGGAGGAGGAGGAGGAGGAGGGCCCTCCGCGCCGGCGCCCGGCGGCCCCGCCGCTGCGACTCCGAGCGGCGCCTGGCGAGAGGGCAGCTCTGGGCCTGGCCGCCGGCGAGGGGACCGGCCGCCCTGGCCCCTCTGCCAGGACTGGAGGCCTGGGAATGGGCACCAACACCAACACCTAGATCCCAGACCCCCTCGAGTTATGAAAAAATCACGACGGGAGGTTTTTCCTTGTTTTTGGCCTTTGGGGGCCCTCACCGGCCCTCGGGAGCGTCAAAAAACGACTCAGGACGGAAAGCCGGTCCCGGGGAATGGGTCGAGACCTCGGGGGGTCGACGTCATGAAAAAATCATGACGTCGGGGGTCTGAGCCTGAAACTGGGCACCAACACCAACACAGGGGGTTGCCTCCACAGGGGGAAGACGATCCTAGATCTCGGTGCTGGTGGTCATTTTTCGGCCACCCTGGAAGCCAGAAGTATTACCCCACCATCACCGAGATCGGGATCTTTTTTTCCCTCGGTAGAGGCACACCGCCGATATCGGTGTTGGTGTCAACCTCTAGGCCTGCGACAGGACTCGAGGACCGGCCATCGCCGCGCGGACGGCAGCCTCCGGAAGCCAACCCGCCAGCCCCGCACCAACTTCCGGAAGGCACCATCAGGTCGGGCATGTCCCCCTACGCGCGTATTTTGGAGGAAGACAACCAAAAATGGTCAACAAGAGTCGACCAAATCGTCCCCAGACTGTTTTACTGGACTATTTTGTGGAACATTCCTCCTGAACGCACGGGCTGCGGTCGCCGCCGCGTCGCCGCAACATGAGGAGGTGGGAGGAGGAGGAGGAGGAGGAGGAGGAGGGGAGGAGGAGGAGGGGAGGAGGAGGAGGAGGAGGAGGAGGAGGAGGAGGAAGGGCCCTCCGCGCCAGCGCCCGGCGGCCCCGCCGCTGCGACTTGGCGCGGCGCCTGGCGAGAGGGCAGCTCTGGGCCTGGCCGCCGGCGAGGGGACGGGCCGCCCTGGCCCCCCCTGCCAGGACTGGAGGCCTGGAACTGGGCACCAACACCACCTCCTCCTCCCTCCTCCTCTCCTCTCCTCTCCCCCCTCCTCCCCTCCCCCTCCTCCTCCCCTCCTCCTCTCCACCTCCTCCTCCTCCTCTCCTCCTCCTCCTCCCTCCTCCTCCTCCTCCTCTCCTCCTCCTCCTCCTCCTACCTCCTCCCTCCTCCTCCTCCTCCTCCTCCTCCTCCTCCTCCTCCCACCTCCTCATGTTGCGGCGACGCGGCGGCGACCGCAGCCCGGCTGCCTCCACAAGGGGGAAGCTGATCCTAGATCTCGGTGCTGGTGGTACTCTTTCGGCCACCTTGGAAGCCAGAATTGTTACTCCACCATCACCGAGATCGGGATCTTCTTCCCTCGGTAGAGGCACACCGCCGATATCGGTGTTGGTGTCGACCTCTAGGCCTGCGACAGGACTCGAGGACCGGCCATCGCGATCGCCGCGCGGACGGCGGCCTCTCGAAGCCAGCCCGCCAGCCCCGCACCAACTTCCGGAAGGCACCATCAGGTCGGGCATCTCCCCCTACGGGCGTACTTCGGAGGAAGACAACCAAAAATGGTCAACGAGAGTCGACCAAATCGTCCCCAGACTGTTTTTCTGGACTATTTTGTGGAACATTCCTCCTGTAGAGAGGGCCATGCCCGACTGCAAGGAGCCGTTCCGTCACCCGCTCGTGTGGGCCAGCGGCGATCGCAAGCCGAGGTAGGCTGCGCCAGGAATCCGCGGCTTGGATCGAGACTGCATACAAACCTATGCGCCAAGGCTCAAAGACCTATGTGTCAAGGCTCAGTCCACCTCGTCGTAAAAAACCTTTGTGCGTTCAAAAATTCCCTAAATCCCTTTTAACCCTAAATCCCTAAATGCCCTAAATCCTTTGTGCGTCGTAAAAAAAAACCCTTTTAACCCTAAATCCCTAAATTCCTTTATTCGGGCTTCTGGATTAGCCGCGCCAAGAGTCCGCGGCTTGGCTCACGGGATGGCTGGCGCGGCGGAGCTCTTCCGGCGGGCCCATGGCCGAGAGAGGCGCCCGGCAGGCGGCCCGGCTCCGCCAGATGTGCTGGCTGCTCGGCGCGCGCCCGAGCAGACGGCTCGCAGCAGCAGGGCGGGAGCGGGGGAGGGGGAGGTCCCGAAGGTGGGAGGAGCTCCGAGGCGGGAATTTATCCATATCCACCGCCTGGAGGGCCAGTTTTCGGAGCATCGGCAGGCGGTGGACATGGACATATTCGGGCCCCCGGGGGCCAAAATATATCCATGTCCACCGCCCGCTGGGGCGCCAGGACGTCGGTTCCCAGGCGGTGGATATGGATAAATCCCCGCCTCGCAGGAGCCGGCATCGAAGGCAAAGGCAGTGCCAGGCTGCCGAAGGCCCAGACTGCCAGACAGCACACCACGGACATCACAAAGTCACTAGGGCCGCTCGCATTCGTGAGACCGCACTGCAAGCCCACATCGACTTCAACGCAAAAACCCCGAGCATGCCTAGGCCAAACAAGCCAGTCTGCTGGCTCGACGGTTGTTATGTCACGTCGGCCACCGATGCGCCGAAGCATAATCGTTATTGCAGTGGCGTGTCCTGAAGAGGAAGCAATAACGTTACGCTATGGTTCGTCTATCAACAGGGTCATCGATCTGGCCGATACCTGCTCTGGTTGTTTAATCATCGGTTGCTTATCAATTTCCCGCTGCAGCGTTCATCGGCATTCTCGGCATCTTTCAAGTCACTAACACGGCTGAACTGGACACTTTTCTGGTCGATCATTTCACGTCTTCTTCATGTACAGCACCCCTTCCCCCTGTGGACTGCTAGCACCGCGACGTTCGGCCTGGCTGGGCGGGAGAGCTTTCCAGGTTCTCCCTGGTGTGCAGCATATAGTATACAATTCCCTCTGTAACCTCACAAGGGAAAAGCCACTCCTGGCCACTTCCATGCAACTGTAAATATCTCCCCGCGTGAAACCACACCGAAAAAACACGCCCAGACAGTCGAAAGTGAGCCTGGTAGGTCAAATAGCATCCGTCTCCATGGGAGGCGGATGAGCTCACATTGCATCCAGTTCCATGTCGAAGGAATACGATATGGGGAGTGGATGGGTAGGATAGGATAAGATCGATGTATCGGTCTTTCCAGCACATAGCGAACACTAAGGTAAGCGTCCGGGCAAATAGGGCGCGCGTGCCTTGAGCCAAAGGCAACGGCGCGCGAGCTATACTCCCGATTCTATATAACATCTCCCAAAGAGCTACCCTTAAAGTCGGGAGGGGAGGAGACGGAGAGTATAGTCGCGCAGCCGTTAGGCTCTACAAAGGCCGCGCGCACGACTGTTTGCAAGAAAAGCAGTGTGTACAGTCTGGCCTAACACCAGACTGTAAGGCGAGTTTCCTCGCAAAGCATTTCGCGCAAATACGAGATAGCCCCTTCGGACATCGGCTCAGCTAGAGGTAAGCCAAACGGGCCATACCTCACCGAGCAAGCGGGTATTAAGGCAAAGAGCCTGAATCATATAAAGCCGGCTCGTTGCCAGGCGTGAAATGTGAGGCTCGTTTCCGAGCACCTAGAAGGGCGCCTCTGTAGTAGGCGCCCATGCTGGCAAATTGGACCGCGGGAGGCAACAAGGACAGAC